AGAGTGCCAAAATGACCCGATGAAGTGGCCATGGCCCTTAGCCAGCACTGAAGTGTTTCCATTTGCCAGCCAGCCAGCTTCCAGGAGAGCCAAGCATCTTTGGTTTCATGGAAACAGCCTGTAAATCAATGTAAGAAACAGGCTGTGGTTTCTGGGTGCTGCCAACATGTATTGAGATTGCATCACCTTAGACCACCCTGCTGTTGACCCAGTGTACTATTTAACTCGAAGCCAGCACAGAAGGGCTTCAGACTTGCGGTGCGTATATACTCGGCTGATGATGGACAAAGAGGCTCTTTGAGTCTAGGCACCAGGTAAGTTTCGTAGCCTGAGGTCCCTCTAGAATGGTTTGACCACTTGAAATTTGCGAAGAAGGACCAAACTTGTCATGAATTCATGACCACTGGCTTGATTATATAGTGCTTGAAACCAATAGAACAAAGAATCATCTTTCATGGATTATTAATTGACCTTTATTTGTATTTCATAATAAGCTTTCCTATGTTAAGTTTTTATACACAGTACTCCACATACAGGCTTTTATTATTTTTTAAATAGGTCAGGGGGTGTTGGGGAAAAAAAGGCAAGTCAATTAATAAAAAATATGCTAAGAAGGGAAAGTGAAAAGAAAGCCATTGGCACCTGACCTGAAGGGTGAGGCTGACAGAGGATGGTTACTGAGTACCTACTGTGTGCTAGGTACTAGTCAGAGCATGTCAGCGATAACAGTGGAGAAGACTAAGATCTCCCTGTAGTGAAGAGGCAGAAACAAAGGGGAAAGCTAAGGTCTCTTGTGCTCATGTGAAGGAAAAGGTATCTGGTAGAGAACAGGGAAGTTTCTCTAGAGAATACCGTCAGGAAGAGCCTTGCTAATTGTGTGGGTGAACAGTGAGCCATACCAGGAACTGGAGGGGAGTGCGTTCTAGATAGGAGGAAAAGCCAGCATAAAAAGTTAGTGGGAACAAACTGAAGATGTTTATGGAACAGAAAGACCAGTTAGAATATGAGAGTATAGTAATGAGAGAGAGAGAGAGAGAGATACCAGTTCATATGGAGTCTTGGAAATCACAGCAAAGAGTTTGAATTTTATTCTGAGGTCATTAAAAAAATGATGCAAGGGAGTAAAACTGTGATGCAGTTTGTTTCCGTCATTGGTGTGATGGTACCCTAGCTGGAGTGATTTTGTCTCCTGGGATAGTTGACAGAGGTGTGTATATTTGGAGACAGCATGGAAGTTGTTACTGCTAGCCTCAAGTGCCTAGAAGCCCAGGATGCTGCTATCATCCAGTGCTGTACAACAAAGAATCGCTGTGCTGAGAAAATTGATAGTGAAGTTGAGAAACATGGGAGGTTCTAGTAACTTTGCTAGAGCTTGGCCCCACGGAGCAAACCCCTCACTTCTGCATTGCAGGATTGTGGGAGGCCTAAAAAATAATATTGGAAGTGTAGTAATAGTATCTTCTTGTGAGGAGCAAAGCAAGAGCTCAGAGGAAGAGGATGTGTGCTCTGTAGGAACCCTCTACCTCTCCTCAAATGTATGTGATATTTACCCCAGTACAGAAGATCGCAAATGACTCTGATTAAGCAGAGTGAATTAGAGCACTTGCTACTTCCAGGTACTTTTTAATCCCAGGGAGTGCACTGGGTTCTCCCCTAGAATGGGGGTTTAGGTCAGAAGAAATGTAATAACTGTTATAGATGCCATAACCACCACACCCCAAAGCTACCATGATGGTTCTCCGCCTCATAAAACTGCTACTATTAACAAAGAATTAGCCTTTAGAATGGCGGTCTCTTCTGGTTTACTAGCCCTTTTTAATATGCCCAACTGTGCCTTAAAACACAAATGAACAAAGCAGTTGCTTCTCTTTAACAGGGTTCCTCATTACAAAAGTAATATGTGTCTAATGTAACAAAATAAACCAAAGACTTACAAAGAAACATTTAATACTGTATCATCTTTCCTTTCCTTTCTAGCCTGGAAATAATGTCAGAAATGTGTTTGTTCCTCCTTACTTTTCTCCATTAATAAGGATTCTTGCTTCTGTTTCCTCTTTTAGTAGTATCTGGAAGACTGGCTGTGACCTGGAAAAGCCAGACATCTGGCTTCTGGATCATTGATGCTTCAGGAAGGGCACAGGATTCTGGTAGATTCTCTGTTGTCTGTCTCTTAAAAGAGATTTTTATCTAGGTTTCTTCTTCTACATTTCACTTACTCATGTTTCAAAGCTGGAATGGAAAGAGAGATACATAGAGCAAGAAAGTGTCAAAAAAGTAATAGATATGATAAAACCCACATTTGCCATGACACTATATTATACATTCCACAGCTTCAAAATGACAATGTGTGCTGATGAAGGTAATTGTTAATGTACCTGTTGACTTTGTAAATGTGTGTTAATGTTAGCCATGCTGTGTTTCATCCTTGCGTAATTCTCTGTAGGAAATAATGCTGCTGTACCTGACACATGTCATACAATGTTAAAGATAATGTGTACAACAATAATAACTAAAGAGCAGTGTTCTCCATTTGCTTTAACGGCACAATCTAATAATTGGGTTTACTATACTAGGTAATAGTGTGTCTTGTTTTCAGTTGTACCACCCAGGTTAGTTTGAAAAACTAAATAAATGCAAATTCTTGCAAAGAAGTCATTTCTTATTCTCATAATCTTTTTTATATATCACCTGAGGGTGGTTTACAATATTTACTGCCTATTGTACTGAAAAAAAAAAATGGCTGGGCTTGTGGTACACACCCATAATCCCAGGACTAGGAGAGATTTATGCAGGATTGCCATGAGTTCCAGGCCAGCGAGGCCTACATAATAAATATCAGACTGGTCAAAGCTACAAAGCAAGATCCTTGCTCAAATAATAAAACAAAGAAAGAAGAAAAAGGAAGGGCATCCCCAGTAAGATGTCTTGGAGCATAAAGGCACCTGCTACCAAGCCTGATAAACCTGAGTTTGGTTCCAGGGACTCACATGATAAAAGGAAAGAACAAACTCCCAAAAGTTGTCCTCTGACCTCCACACATATGCCTCCCCCCACCCTCCTCACCCAGATACAATATATTTAATTAAATTTTTTTTAAGATTGGCATTGGCAGGATCCTCTTTTCCCTAACTACTCCGGCCATGGGAAGAACCAGGAATCCAGTTTAATGAGGTGTTTTTCTCACATCTTCATCTAGACTTTCCAAAATTCCTGTTCCCCCATTCTTTCTATTGCTTCCAACCTAGAATAGCTAGTACAAGTATCCCAGCCCTGAATGTTTGGCCCAACCTCTACTATGTTTAAAGGCCTTTGCCTCTGCTTTCCTTGCCTGAGGCCACAGTAATCAGTGGTTAGAATTGCATGACTAAAAACAGAAAACCTGTCCCAAAGTGTCAGAAATACAGTTTGTCTCTCCCATTGTAAGTCACACAGTATTTCATTTAGTAACAGCATCAGATCAGTCTGTTGACTGTTTTACCACCTGTATACAGGACATTGGTTCTGCATGCTTGCTTATTACTCTGTCTTAGGGTTTCATTGCTATGAAGAGACAACATGACCACAGCAACTCTTAGAAAACATTCAGCTGGGGCTGGCTTGCAGTTTCAGAGCGTCAGTCCATTGTCGTCATGGTAGGAAGTATGGTGGCATGCAGGCAGACATGGTGCTGGAGAGGAGCTGAGAGTTGTACTTCAGGAACTGCAAGCAGCAGGAAGAGACTGTGAGCCAGTAGGCCTGTCTTGAGCTTCTGAGACCTCAAAGCCCACCCCCCAGTGACACTTTCTCCAACAATACCACACTTACTCCAGCAAAGCCGCACCTCCTAAGAGTGCCACTCCCTGTGAGCCTATGGGGGCCATTTTCTTTCAAACCACCACATACTTCATGGTTGCAAGATAGTTGTGTGTCTGCAGCTCTCTCCTACCTGCATTCCTCTCAGATGGAGTGCACAGCAGAAAGAGCAGAGTGATTGTTCTTCCTACCAGTGTGTTTGCCATGTTAGCTGGGAAGAGAAACCTTTATCAGGGACTTCTAAGTGCATCTCTTTGGCCCAAGCTGAACCATACATGTTATCTTTAGCTGCAAGGGAGGCTGGGACGACAAGTATTTAGCTTCCTAGCCTGAATGGTGATAGAAAAGGGGGAAAGGCTGGTAAGTGATACTCAGTGAGCCAATTTAGTGTTGTCTTCATGTTGCTTACAAGCATGATAGTCTCTTTCAGGTGATCTTCAGCCTCTGGTGTTCTCAGCAGTGACTTTGTTTCTTCATCTTTAACATAGCATTGATCAAACTGCTCAGGGCCTTTTCTGTCATTGATGCTGTGGAGTAGGACATGTGAAACACATTCTTACAGGTTAGTAACTCTTTCTCTCCCCCTCTTTCAGAACATTTAGGACATTGTTTCACTCTCTTCGGATTTGCATTGCTTCCAACAATAACAACGAAAGCCTTTGTTCCTCTATAGAAAGGCTTCCCATGGCCCCTGTTAGGTGTGGTGTGCTCTCTATTGTTGGTGGAGCACTTTATGATCTACTGGGTGTAGTTTATTTCCCATGTCTCGTATTTAGGGTTGCTTGTACCCTTGAAACTTTGGTTTAGTGGTCTTCATAATATTTATAATTGGAGGGCCATTATTCCTTCAAATGTTTCTTACCAGCTTCTCAACAGGCATAAAACATGGGTCTAATAAGCCTCGTGGAAGCTATCTCACCTATGCACTTTTGTTTTTTCTCTCCATATTTCACTGGCTAGTTTGTAGTGCATCTGTTTTCATGTTTATACTAATGATTTTTGCTGCAATGTTTGACCTATCACAAATGCCATCCAGTGTGGTTTTTAAATATTTTTTAAAAATTTTACTTAACTTTTTATCTCTAATAGTTCCACTTGGGTCTTTTAAATTATCTTCCACACATAAATGAATTCCTCCACAATTTTTTTTTTATCTTCTTAGCATGTTTGGCCTTCCCTGTCATTAATCAAATATATACAATTTTGTTTTAATAACCATTTTATTTATCCTTGTTTAATTCTTTCATCTATGTAATCTTTATATTTTGTGATTGTTACTTTCCATGCCTGGTTATTTTTATTTGCATGCCAGGCATAGTAAATTTTAACTTTATTCAGTGTTCTGTAGTTTTCCTATTCTTGTAATTCTTGAACTTTGGTCTAGTCACTTGTAAGTTATTTGCAAGCAGTTTGTTGTTTGTATCCACTTTTAAGCTGTTTTGTGAGTTCTTGATTTTAAATGGATGGCTAATGTTCTCTGAGGCAGAAACTTTCTATGTCTTCTCTGGATATCCCCAAGATAGGAGATGTGCCGCCCTGGCTTGGGGGAACAAGCTCTGTTTTTAGTGTGTGCCAGCTTTGGCAGTTTCCTGCCCTGAAGCAGTTTCCCTATATGAGCAATGATCAATACTCAGCTGAGGGTTTGCTGGGCACCTGCGCAGTCTCTAGAGTTCTCTGTCCATGCAACTTTCTTGTTTTCAGTAGGAGGCCCTGTGAATCCAGTGCCGCCTCTTCCACTCAGGATGGTGAAAGGGCCCTGCAACAGCTCCTCTCTTGCTGCAGACCAGGGAGCTGTAGCAATCACACAGCTCAGGTTCATCTCTTCAGCTATTCCAGGCCAGAGGGAAGCCTGCTACTGCACTCTGCCTGGAATCCTCCTCCTCCTTATTTAATACAGATTTTGCTGAAGGTTAATGTTACCATTTCATTTCTAGGTAACAGAAAATGCAGGTGGGATTGTGCACAAATCTTTATGGTACTTATGGCACAGAACTGGAATATATCACAGTCTCTGAGGTGCACACAATGGCTTTCATTTTCAAAACAGCCACACTATGTAGCCCAGGTTGGCCTTGAACTTTGTTATTCCTGTTTCCACCACCTGAGTGCTGCCATTACATGTATGTGCCACCTTGCCTGGCTTATTGTGTCTCTTTGAGCAGATGGTAATATCATTTTTTCTGTGAAAAATAATTGCATTGTGATAAGTATAAAAACATTAGGAGAATATGGGAGCTTAAATATAAATGCCAATTATCAATGCTATTAGCTGTACCAGTTAGAGTTTACCCCTTGGCTGCAAACCCCAGCAAATTTCTTCTCTACCTGTGGCTCTTTGCTACTCTGCCACCAGAGGGCACTGTAGGACGCATTCTCTCTAGAGGACCAGGGACTATTCCTGCCTGCTGCCTTCACAGTGCCTCCTTAGGTTTCCTGTGAAGTCCCTGAAACCAGCCACACTTCATACTGGCCGCTGCAGTTCCCTTCCCTTAGAGGCAGCTGAATTTAAATTTCCTATTTGAAGAGCCTGTTTTATTAAACATAACCTTGGAACATCAGCACCAGACAGTTATCCGTTCTCAGAAGTCTGCAGTTTCAACTCTCCAGGGGTCCTCTGAGTTTCTCAGCTTTGGTCATTCCAGTCTCTGTTCTCCTGTCTGCTACTGAGCATCATTGTCACACAGGTTCCCCGGCTTCCTGTCTAAATTGCCTGTTCAAAACCTTTGCTCATTTTTCTTTTCAGTTTTGCTTACTGGTTTGTTTATGAACACTAAATATTTTTAGCTCAGATTTTATTTGCATTATATACATATTCTTTTTCAAAAAATAAAAACTTTTATTTATGTGCATGTTTATATGAGTGTATGTTATGTGTGTGCTGATTCCTATGGAGGCCAGAAGAGAGAGTGGGATTCCCTGGAGCTGGCTGGAGTTTCAGGTAGTTGTGAACTGCCTGATATGGATGCAGGGAACCAAACTCTGGTCCCATGTAAGAACACCACTCAACTAATGAACCATCTCTCCAGCCCCCACACGCATAATCTTAAAAGTTTAGGGATCATTTTCCTCTTTGAATTTTAAATCTAATTTTGTTTTTTGGGTTTTTTTTATTTTGTGGTAGCAGTGTTGGGTTTTTGTGTAGTAGTGGGTTTTTTGTTTGTTTTCCAGGATAGGGTTTCTCTGTGTAGCCCTGGCTGTCCTGGAACTCACTTTTGTAGACCAAGCTGACCTCAAACTCAGAGGTTCTCCTGCCTCTGCCTCTGGAGTGCTGGGTTAAAAGGTGTGGTGCCACCACCCAGCTCTCTTTTTAAACATCAAAAGACTGTTTCTCACCTCCCACTATGTGCCTTCATCTTGCCTGGTTTCTTCCTTTGGTTTCATTTTATGACTTGCAACAACGTTTCTGTCTTTATAAACTGAGCTGCCAGAAATACTGTCCCAGTGACTTTAACCTTCCAGTCAAAGCTATTAAAGGCTGGAGAAATCAGTTTAGTGGCTCAGTTAATATTTTTAAAAACGGAGGAGCTGGAGAGATGGTGCAGATGTAAAGAGTGATTAAGAACACTTACTACTCTTACAACCCCAGTTGAGTTCTGAGCACCCAGGTTGGGTACCTCTCAATGGCTTATAACTCTGACACTATGGGGTCTGTCAACCTTTCCCTGCCCCCATGGGCACCTGGACACCTGTACACACACACACAGAGAGAGAGAGAGAGAGAGAGAGAGAGAGAGAGAGAAAGTATTTTTTAAAAATTAAACAAGACTGGTGAGATGGCTCAGCCGGTAAAAGCTGAGTGAGCCTGATAGGTTGTGGTCCACCTCCTGGACCCATGGTAGAAGGAGAAAAGGAAAGTTAACCCT